TCCTGTGGTACAGTAATTACTGCAACCATCTCTTGCCCACAGCAACACATCAACCAGCCTGTTCTTTCTTTGACCATATATGTCTACCTGGGAAAGTTTGAGGAGGAGTATCTAAATCAAACTGCAGGCATGGAAGTCCAGGGAGGCTTCTTGAAGTTGACAGTGCTTGAGCTGGGTTTTGATGAGCAAGTAAAAGTGGAAGAGAGCATTTCAAGCAGGGGTACGGCATGGGTAGAGGCATAAAAGAGAGAAACAGTAGGGTTTATTGGGGAGCTAAGTGTTGTTGTATATGTCTGGAGGAGGAACTTAGCCCTACGATGTCAGGAAATAACAGTACAGAGGCAGCCTCTTGTCAGATGGGGGTGGGTCTTGGGCATCATCAAGCCAGGGAACTTACATCTTTCCAAGTATGAACAGCAGTTGATAGGTTTTTTAAATGACTTTTAAATTATAACAGTGATATACATTTATAGAACATGCAAAACACTTAGAAAAACATAAAGTAGAAAATAATAATCACTTTTAATCTAATTACCCAGAACTCACAACTCTTAAGATTTTAGGGGAATTTGTTCTTTTCTTCCATGCATGTTCTTATATAGTTGAGAACATGCTATGCAAGTAAGTTTATATCCTGCCTTCACACTTGAAGTTATAACATATACATATTTAATGTTTTTGAAATCTGTAAACATTTTAATAGCAGTGTAAAATTCTATAGTTTGATACCATATAATTTAACTATTCTCATATAGGTAGAAATGGGGGAGGGGGAAGTTTCACTGTAATAAATGACGCCACAATATTCATATTTGTATGAACTTAGATTTTTTCAGTGGTTTCTTGTGATCAGTATCAAGAAAGAAATGAATCAACAGTGTGAAAGTTTTAGACATTTATTACCAAACTTCTAAAAACTTTTCTGCCAGTTTACACTCTGATCATAGGTATGAAAGCGTGCACATTTCATCTTCCCTTCCCAGTGCCTGGTGTCATGGTTGGTGCCACTGAAGGGTTTTTGCTGTGGAGGTGACCTGAACAGATGTGCATTTATAAAATCCCATACTGGAGGCTGAATCAAGTGTACCAGATTGGAACTGCTATCGCTGTCCTTGCTGTTCCACCTTTGCTTCCACATTCTCCTGTTCCCATGTTCCCATTCTTCCTCTTTTTTCTTTCTTGGAGGAAGTGTTTGCTGCACACAGAGCACTGCACGAGACTTTGTTGCCAGGAGCAGTGCTGAAAGACCTAGCTCTGTGGTTGCAACAAGTTGGTGCCCAGCCCAGAGACCCTCTTTTTATAGTTCTATAAAAAAAAAAAAAAATCTCTAGATGGTAATTCTCATTAGGGAGAGATACTTTTTATATTTTCCAATGACATTGCCAAGTGAGTTTATTGATAAATTAATTTCCTTGTGCATCCAGTGACTATCCAGTCCTACACACAATCACCCCTGTCCCTGGAATGTCCTTCCTCTTTCTCCTTCTTAACCCAGCAAATTACCTTGGCATTCATCCTTCAAGACCTTCCTTAAATGCCTGTGACACTTCCTTCCATACCTTGCCCAGTCATAATCAGTTACTCAGGCCTCCTTGTTCCTATAGTTCACTGACAACATTTTCTACACCTAACGCTTTTCCTCCCTCTTGGCCAAGAGTCCTTCAAGAGTTGAACATCTTGCATTCCCACTTCTTAACGCACTGTCTGGCACTTGGTTGCCATCAGTAACTGTTGAATGATTGAGTGGATTAATGAGTACCTGTTTTGCTAAGGTACATGGACATTCCATCTTAAACACAAACAAATTGAAGAATGTAGAGACAATATGGAGATGATATGAATTGCCAAACCACACTCTGAGTCATTGGTACCTAAGGTAAAGCAGGCACGTGGTATATCAGGTGTCCTGATCCTGGATTCTAAGTTCTGAACGTTAAATGTTCTGTGTGCCTGCACATCAACTTGTGCTCTGTTCTGTTTCATTTTAACTCCAGATTTAGTTTCTGCATAAGGATCTGTGTGCTAGAGGAAGTACAGGGAATTGAGTGATACCAGAATTTCCCAAAATGTGTTCCAAAGAAAACTACCAGGGATACCTATGAAACTGTTTCTAGGTATCACACAAAAGAAGAGTCTCATGGTCCAATAAGTTTGGGAAACAAAGTTGAATATATTTCTTTACTGCAGAACTTCCTGGTAGGCATTTTAGGAAATTGAAAGATCAGTTAGGCAATGGTAGAGAAACAGAACAGCCAGCAAGTCTTCCTTCAGTAGTAAACAGGAGTCATCCTAGCCTCTTCACGCTGGGGAAGATTCAGAGTACAAATTCAAAGGCCGAATGGTGAAACATAGAAGATCCTAGCCCCTCCCCTTGCACTTCTGCACTTATCTCCCAAGTCCCACATTTGTGTAAACCCCTGCTCCTACCCACCCCCCATACTGATGAGATCAGCCTGCATTATGTCTCTTCTAGAGCCAGGAAGCAAGGTAATGTGTGGGAAGTAATAGCTGCAAGGTAACGTGTGGGAAGTGATAACAACTTTTCGCTGTTAAAGCCATTCAACAGGAAAATTTGTTAAAAGACCAAGACATTGTAAAAGCTGAAACACTTGAGTCTATTAAGTCCGCTGCTTCTTAGAACATTTTGTTACCAGGGAATGTTTCAAGGAGGGAAAACACTGAACTATCACAGCACTGTCAGATACCAAAGCCTGGTACAGAGAGCAACATTTTACAAGACATCTGTCTCTCTGACAACAGAGAAACTTCTAAAAAGTTCTACCTCTCTTTTCTCCTCCTTTCTCCTACCCCAGTATGACTCCCCTACTCTCCTCACCCCTAAACACACCCTACACATCTTTACTCCCTCCCTTTTGCTCCCTCCCCCCTCCCCTCCCTCCTCCCTCCCCTTCCCTCCCCTCCCTCCCCCCTCCCTTTCCCTCCCCTCCCTCCTTCCTCTCTTTCCCTCCCCTCCCTTCTCCCTCCCTTTCCCTCCCTCTTCCCTTTCCCTCCCCTCCCTCTTTCCTCCCTTTCCCTCCCCTCCCTCCTTCCTCCCTTTCCCTCCCCTCCCTCCTCCCTCCCTTTCCCTCCCCTCCCTCCTCCCTCCCTTTCCCTCCCGTCCCTCCTCCTCCCTCCTCATTTTTCTCCTCCTTCTCCTCCTCCTTCTTTTCTCTCTCATTCACAACCCATATTGATTTCACAGACACTGTAAAATGACACATTAAGCTAAAACTATCCAATGGTTATTCAACACACTTTAGTAAGAAGGGAACTAATTAAGTGACTAGAGGTTTAGACATTTGTTGTTTACTGGATCTAAGCTCCTTAAGAGAGCCTGGAGCGTTCTCCTAAACAAACTTTGCCTATTCATGGCTTCTTGTTCCAAATCCAAATGAGATGGAGGGTTTAAGGAGACAGTATCTTTTCACAGTTGTGAAAAAAGGAGTACCAGAGAAGGAGAATGGCAGTGTCGATGGGTGTAGAGGGGAAAACCTTGGGTGTAGAGAGACTAATGCAGTTTTTGTATCTGTTGGCAGCTGATGTCCATTAGTGATCATTAGGTTAGACTTCAGCGACGTTTACACATTTGCGGTGAGCCCAATAGTTTAACTGTCTTCATTAGAAGTATATCCGTCAAGAGGGAGGAGATGTGGGAATATATGTTTATGTACAGCTGATTCTCTTTGTTATACAGCAGAAACTAACACACCATTGTAAAGCAATTCTACTCTAATAAAGGTGTTAAAAAAAAAAGAAGTATATCCATCAAGAGACTTTTTTAAACAACAGTGTAACAAAAAAGTAAAGACACAATGCTTGGTGTCAGTTTATTTATCTCTTGTAAAAATAAAATACAGTGTGTGTATGTGTAAAAAAGTAAAGACAAACCCAAATATCTCCTTGCCAATCTTAATAAACACTATCGTACTTTATCAGGAGGCACCTTAGAAGACCGAAGCCATCTGTCAAATAAGCAGAAACATTAACGATTTTCTAGAACAGTTTTCTAGTTCATGAATATTAATAGGATGTTAGCGATTAGCCACAACCTATGAGAGAATTTCCCCTGCCTTAGTAGGCAAAGAAGGAGTGGAAGCTTTTAAAGAGTCTGCCTTTTTATTTGCTTCTGTTTTAAATAAATAAAAGTTGTGTTGTAAAAATGAGTCTTTGGGCGCACCATCAAACCTTAATGCTGCCGTTGCTTTCCCCAGAAATTGGACAGGCACAATCCAAGCCCCAGGAACTTTGAAAAAAAGGACCTCTTCTAGGTGCTGAATCAGAAGCGACTGCCACTGTGGGAAGCCATCGATCCTGTGTGACTCTGAGCCTGAGACTCGTATTTTCTATCCCTCTTTTTGTACTGTGGACCCAGTATAATCTGGTGTAGGTGAAATATTCTTTTCCTTGGCTCAGATTAGGCACCTGGTGTCCTGAAAGAGGTCACTGACTTCCCCAAGGATGTCCAAGGAGGTTGGCTCACCACTGGCTTACCGCAGGCCAAATTTGAAGTTAATTAAGCATCAGTCATCGTCAGTAGGGCCAAAATGTTATTCAGACATTCAGGGAAGAGAAACCTGATCCAGCTCTGGATAAGGACCTTCATCAGCATTCCTTCCTATCCTAATCCCAAACCAATGTGTCTTTAGCTGCACTGGGGGATTGTATTTCAGAAATAGCTGGTTCATCCTTTATGTTACGCTCCATTTGAAGAGGCTTCTGGATATGTCAGCCTATTCATTGGATGCATGTTAACCTTCTGAACCAAAACCTTTTTTTTTTTTTTTTTTTTACTAGAACTGGGTTTCTGTTTATGAAAAGTACATTTGTTGACTTCTGGGGAAATTCCCTATTCAGAATGAGGATGAAAATGCTGTTTGGTAGGAGATGAAGGGATATTGAGAGTTCTGGGTTGGCCATCTAGGGACCAGACCTTCTGGCCCAAACCAGACTGGGAAACAGAGAGATGTGTGTGCACTGCTTTTGCTTGTCTCACTCTACAGACCTCAGTGACCAGCTTCTTGAAGTGGTGGGGCTAGAGGGAGCCATGGAAATGGGGCAGATCTACACTGGCCTGAAGAGTGCAGGCAGGAGGCTGGCCCAGTGCTCCTCTGTCTCCATCAGGTATGCTTCCTCATCACCCAGCAGCCCCCCAGTCTCCCCACCTCCCTGAATATTCTTACAGATAACAACTAGGAAGCCATCTATAGATTTCAGTGCAGAGAGAGTGGGGTGGGGCAGAAGCTTGATAACATTTATGAAGAATGTCTTTGGAGACCACTTCCCCAACAAGGTATAACGCAAACATCCAGGACATCAACTAAAGGGTCCCACCACAACCAGTTTGCTGTTCTCTTAGAATGAATTGGTGAGATTCTCTAAATAGGATTGTCATATTATGAGGTCCAGAGAACCAGAGATCCAACTCCTTGCCTTCTTTATCTTTACAAATTGAACAGTTCAATGCATGCCAGAGGGCACACTTTGACAAAAACCAGGCTCTGTGCTCCACTCTGCTCTTTCTTGGATAATGGTCTTGGAAATACTTTTGCTAGAGTTAGCAATCCCATATACCTTTGTAGAGTTAAACCGTCAACCTCAGCAAACCCGTCATAACTGACTAAGAGGATGACAGTTCTTTAGAGTATGGATCACATAGGTCAGCCACAGCAGGTTCCTGAATAGATGGGGTCTAATGGAGGGGATCTTCTGATTTTGGTTGCTTCTGTTTAATAAATGCAACCCGTCACAGATTTTTGTCCACCTGATTATTTCAGGAGTCCTTATTCCTTTCCATTTCCCATTTAATTTCTATACATCAAATCTATTCGTGTGTCTTGGGGATCTCCTGGAGGGGACCACCACATGCAGGTTTCCCAAAGTTATTTAAACACAGAACCCTTTTATCCCTTAACCTCTTGGGTGAATGTCCTCAGAGCACATTCAGAGAAACGCTGTTCTTGGTGCCACCCTGCATCCTTCAGAAAGGTCCTCAGAGCTGGTTCCCTGATCTATCCCACTAACCCCCTTTCTTCATTCCCTCTCTGTGTCTCCTGTCTTTTCAATTATTCCCCAGATCTTTGCTTCTCTTCTTCGTTGGGCTGTTGTGCTGGGGCCCCTGTTTTCCAGGTTAACCTCTGTAGTTCCTTCTCTGTCCTTTCCCCATGACTCTAACACTGAGTAGGTCCAGTCCATTAGCACATCTAAGCCATAACATATGTAGACCAGAGAATTTGGTCTCTGAAGAATTTTTTTAAAACATGTATAAGAGATAGGATATTTTCTGTTTCCAGATAGAAATAGAGGGGGTGAGTCAGAAGCCCTAGCCTCCTGGGCATTCCCCAGATACTCTCCTCACTCCCCAAAACCAAAATGCCACTCTCTCTCTCCTCTTATTTGTTTTATTATTAGGTTTATTGGTTCTTATTATTAAATATCCTCAGAGTCAGTCGGAGAATCATCTACATCAAAACACAGCCGGAAAAAAAAAAAAGAAACGCAGCCTGCCTCCCTCATTTTATAATTTCAGAAGCAGGGCAGATGCCAAACCCAGGTGAGGGCTTTCTGGCCAGTGGGTGGCAACTGTTCCCTGCTCGCCCAGACCAGAGGCCTCCGAAAGGACCTGCCTTTTCTCCTTCATCTCTCTCCTTTAATAATCCATATGCCAAAGAAGCCTTGACCCAAGCAAGAAAGCAACGCTTTCTCCTCTCTCCTCCGCCTACCCATGGGGATCACATTCCCAATGACCCCTTTTCCCAGCTAAGCCAAGTCCACAGTCCATGCAACCGCAGCGTCTGCTGTTGTTCAGGAGATAAAAGAGGGGATGCTTTAGGACTGGGGGCAAGGCAAGACACACTCAGACCTGAGCTGTACCTCGTTTAAGTGGGAGACATTACCTCACTGACGTGATGCAACTGCTCACTCAACATTGAAACCAGGCCTTTCCCCATTTCATAACCTTTCCCATTTCATAACCTTTCCCATTTCATAGTGGCGTTTTGGCACCATGGACAGGCCCTCTGGCTGATCGTTTGACTAAGGGTCCACTCAGCTGTGGTGCAGCCATACTTGTTGGCCGCTGTTTCCCAGACTCCTCTGGACCTCACTGCTCACCCAGGGCCATGTTTCTCAAAGTAGGGTCTGGGGGTCAAAGCAACAGAATCATCCGTAGTGCTTATTAAAACACAGACCTCTGGGCCTGGCCCACACCTGTCAAGTCGGGACCCCTGACGTGGGCTCAGAAATCTGTTTTCAGCAAGCCCCACCCCCCCCAGGAGAGTCTTCAGAACCACTCCTGTTTCCCTGGTGGGGGCAACCCTCATCCTTAGACTCCAAGAAGCTCACTGTGCTCTCTGTTCTCGGGGCTCCAGGACGAACAAGCTGCTGCCAATGCAAGTGGACGGAGAGCCCTGGATGCAGCCACCTTGCATGGTAAGTTTTGCCAATCTTTGAGATGAGGGTGAGAAGCTTTATTTTGGGCCCCTTTGGGGCACTGACTTAATATGAAACTCTGAATCTCAGAGTTACAGGAGCTTTGGGAGATCATCTAGTGCAGCTTCTCTTCCACTTTATTCATCCATCCATTCAGTTACCTGCCAAGCTTTTATTGAATATGTGCTATGTGCCAGACACTGGGAGACACCAGTTCCCAAACCAAAGGAGACATAGACCTGTCTTCAAAGAGCTTATGATTCTAGATGGTGAATTCTGAGGCTTCATCTACAGTATCCTTGAGAGCCTCAGCTTGAATCACTCAGTGGCAAGGAACTTACCACCCCAAAAGGAAGACTGTTCCACTGATGAACAAGCCTAATCACTAGAAAGTGCTTCTTTATATAGCAGCCAAATGTGCACACTTACGCCAAACTTCCAGCTAGTTGCTGTGACCACCAGGGCTCCTGGGGGAGAATTCCCACAGTGCATAGACACGCTGCACCCCAGGTGCACCCACAGCCCCAAGGACCCACCTGAAAGCTCCCCTGACAGGGTAACCACACGGGTTATCTATTTTGTTTATGGCATTTCTGTGACCCATATTTCCCAGCACCTAGCACTGTGCCTGGTTTGTTTGTAATAGTTGCACAATAATATTTGTTTAGCAATGGATAAAGGATTGAACAAACAAAAATCAAGGGAACAACCCCAGTCCCTGATTTACCATACCTTTGTTAGCAGTTTGTTCTCAGAAACCCAGCTAGAAACTCCATGGCAAAGAGAAACCACTGTCCTGGTGTTCAGGGCCCAGGGTGTTCGCTGGGATACTACATTAGTAACATCCTCAATACTATCGTGAGGGTGCAAATCTCAAGACAGAAGTTGTGTTTCTGAGCTTCCTTACTCTAGTGGAGTATTCAGATACCTCGATAACCTGTATTTGGAGCCCTTCAGAACATCAAGTTGTCTTCTAGAAAAGAGGTTTTCATAAGACAGTTACTAGGTCTGAATTGTAGATTTATTTCTATAATTCTTTGTTCCATATAACTTCTACAAATTGTAAAACTAGTCCCTAGAGACAGAGACTTTAGAAATGTCATCTTTTATAAAGGTTATAAAAAGTAGGAGTTTTTCTGCAAAATCTTACCTCAATCTTTTGGTTTCTATGAAGTCTAAGAAAAAGATGAGAACATACTACAGCAAAACCTAATATCTTACCACCTTGTTAGAGCTGGGAAGGATGGAGGGAATTTGTACTACTTATAATTTTGAGGGAGCTGAATTAAGAAACATCTGTCCAATGGGCTTCCCTGGTGGCGCAGTTGTTGAGAGTCTGCCTGCCGATGCAGGGGAAACGGGTTCGTGCCCCGGTCCGGGAAGATCCCACATGCCGCGGAGCTGCTGGGCCCGTGAGCTATGGCCGCTGAGCCTGCGCGTCCGGAGCCTGTGCTCCGCAACGGGAGAGGCCACAACAGTGAGAGGTCAGCATACCACAAAAAAAAAGAAACATCTATCCAAGCTCCTCCTGTCTCCTAAAAGAAAGAAAAAAAAAGCTGGAAGAAAGCAAACCCTCGGCCACCTAGCTCAGTAGTATCTGGAAACTGGACTGCTTTCCTCCAGATCCAAGCACTGATTTTAAAATAGCCAGATACTCCTCCTATCCCCATTCTCTCTCCATGCCACCTTTTAGAGATTACAACTCACGATGAAAAAAAAACCGTGACCCAATGATTTTTATGGTGTTCAGTCTGTGGAAGGTATGTTAGTCAGCTCAGGCTGCCCTAACAAAATACCACAGACTGAGTGGCTTAAACAACATAGTCTTTCATAGTTCTGGAGGCTGGAAGTCCAAGATGAAGGTGTCGGCAGGGTTGCTTTCTGGTGAGGCCTTTCTTCCTGACTTGCAGACAATGGCCTTCTCACCTTGTCCTCACATGGCCTTTTCACTGTGTGCATTCACTCCTGATGTCTCTTCCTATTATATGGACACTGGTCCTATTGGATTCAGGCCCCCACCCTTATGACTCCATTTAACCTTAATTACCTCCTTAAAGGCCATATTTCCAAATGCCCTCACGTTGGAGGTTAGGGCTTCAACCTATGAATTTTGGGGTGTGGAGGTGGGAATACAATTTGGTCCACAGCAGAAGGTAACAGAAAATCATTCTTAAACTTGAAAGAGTTAAAACAAAAGCACCCTTTTTGAATCATTTTCCTGAAGGCACATACTATGAAGTGATTCCGAATTGAAGGCTTAATGATGGGACAGCACAGCAACAAAAGAACTTTTGGTAAAAATTAAAATCAGTTAAATTAGAATAAAGTAAAAAAAAAAAAAACTGTTAAATATGGTTATGCAACTGAATGCAAATGGCAAAAATCATTCTTTGAAAGAGAAGATATATAATGTAAACATTCATAACTTGGATCCCAAACCTAAAGTTATGTTCACCAAGGCTGAAAGCATGTGGGAGACATTGTTGAAAGAATAGTAAAAATGTTAAATTTTTCATTGTCTCTCTTCACTTTAATAATTACAGGATGTAAATCTGAAGAAAATTTTAATAACTAGATAATTACTAGTGACACTAAAAACAGGGTGCACACCTTTCGAATCTGGGAGAATTTAAAGTTAATGAACCCTGTCAGTGTAGCACAAGACAGAAAGTGAATAACAAGCAAACATTTAAAATTTTTCTGATTAAGATAAAAGAGGTTAAGACTAAATATATCAATAATGACAAAAAAATATAAAAGTGCTAAAGTCCCCTATTAAAAGTATAAGACTCTCATATTGGGTTAAAAATTAAAATCCAGTGATATACTTCTTATAAAGAGACACATCTAAAACAGAAAGACATATATATATCTTTTTATCTTATCCTTGCATAGAGAAATTAAAAGTAAGAAGTGATAGTTTCGGGCAAACTAACCTTCCAACATGCCAAAAGCATAAAGTGGAATAAAGAATGTCACTTTTTATTTAATATAAAGTACTCTCAATTTTGAGATATAATGGTCATAAAATTTTAGTTGTTTAATAACAGAATCAAAATATATACTGTGAAACTCAGTATAGATGTATATTCTGAGAAAAATACATATATAAAAAATTGACAGGGCTTCCCTGGTGGCACAGTGGTTGAGAGTCCGCCTGCCAATGCAGGGGACACAGGTTCATGCCCCGGTCCGGGAGGATCCCACATGCCGTGGAGCAGCTGGGCCCGTGAGCCATGGCCGCTGGGCCTGCGCGTCCGAGCCTGTGCTCCGCAGCAGGAGAGGCCACAGCAGTGAGAGGCCCACATACCGCAAAAAAACAAAACAAACAAAAAAAATTGACAGAAAGACAGGTATTGAGAAGCTTTAAAATATTTGTTTCTGGGCTTCCCTGGTGGTGCAGTGGTTGAGAGTCTGCCTGACAGTGCAGGGGACATGGGTTCGTGCCCCGGTCCGGGAAGATCCCACATGCCGCAGAGCAGCTAGGCTCGTGAGCCATGGGCACTGAGCCTGCGTGTCCGGAGCCTGTGCTCCGCAACGGGAGAGGCCACAACAGTACCGCAAAAAAAAAAAGTTTGTTTTTGTCTTTGAGGTCAAGCTGTAAAAAAAGTAAATGACATAAAACTTGGATTTTAAAAAAACAAGCTCATAGGTATGGAGAACAGATTGGTGGTTGTCAGAGGTGGGGGTAGGGGGAGCAGGGTGGGTGAGATGGGTGAAGGGGGTAAAAAGGTACAAACTTCCAGTTATAAAATAAGTTAAGTCCTGGGATGTGATATACAGCAGAGTGACTATAGTTAATAACACTGTATTGTATATTTCAAAGCTGGTAAGTGAGTAACTCTTAAAAGTTCCCATCACAAGAAAACATTTTGTAACTATGGTGACAGATGTTAACTAGACTTACTGTGGTGATCATTTCACAATATATAGAAATATCAAATCATTAAGTCGTACACCTGAAACTAAAATAATGTCATATGTCAATTATACCTCAATTTAAAAATTAAACTTGGGTGAAATAAGTGTGCCTTAAATAATTAAATATCTCATTTCTTCAAGGATTCATAGGATATTTACTAAAATAGATCATAAACTAGTTCACAAAGAAAACATATATATAAAATCCAGAAGCAGAAATTGTAACGGTTGTTTTATGTGACCACAAAGCAATAAAACTAGAAATTAATAATAGAAGATTAAATGAATAAATAAAATCCAATCACTCAGAGATTTTTAAATTCTCCTAAAGAATAATAGATTTAAGAGGCGATCAAAGCTAACATTATTGACTATTTAAAAAATAATAAAAGTGAGAAGGCTCGCATTCAAATCTTACAGAATATAGCCTAAACTGTATTTGGAAGTAAATTCAGAGTCTCATATACTTCCATTATTTGAAAAGGAAAAAAATGTAATGAATAATCCCCAAATTAAAAGAATAATAAAACAAACTTAGGAGAAGCAGAAGGAAGAAAATAAAGATAAAATTAGAAATTAAACAATTAAAAAACAGGAAAATCTAGAACTAGTTCTTTAAACATGTCAAATGTTTGAAAACCTAATTTTAGAAAGAGAAAAAGAAAAACAGAGATTAGAGATATTAAAATATTTAATACATATGTAATATAAATATGGTAATGGTTTTATTTAATAAGACATTATATGACATATATATAGTTTTATCTTGATTCTAATAAACTTGAACATCTTATAAAAATCCTAGGTAACCTTAATGAAATGAAAAATGTTTTCAAAGAATTACATCCACAATGATCTTAAAACAGATGATCTTACTGGTGAGTTCTTCCATATTATTAGGGAATAAATATTTATGTAAACTGTTCCATAGAACAAAGATAGAAAGCTACCCAATCCATTTGATAAAATTAAGACAGATACAAAAACCTAACAAAAACTATGCTTAAAAATGGAAAACTACAGACCAATCTCAAATATGAACATGATACAAAAATTATAGGTAGGGATTCCCTGGTGGCGCAGTGGTTGAGGGTCCGCCTGCTGGTGCAGGAGACACGGGTTCGTGCCCTGGTCTGGGAAGATCCCACATGCCGCGGAGCGGCCGCGGAGCCTGCGCATCCGGAGCCTGTGCTCCGCAACGGGAGAGGCCACAGCAGTGAGAGGCCCGCGTACAGAAAAAAAAAAAAAAATTATAGTTAAAGTATTGGCAGATACAATTGAACAATATATTAAAAGAATCATTCACTCAAGAAGAATATATCAAAGGAGTGCAAGGATGTCTTCTTATATAAGTTTGGATAGAAAAATCACATGATAATATGAATAGATGACCCCAAAATACTCAATTACATTCAACATTTCTGATTTTTAAAGATGAAAACTCAGCCCGGAAAGGCACTTCCTCAAAATAAAAAAAAAGAAAAAAAATCTCCTTTTTCTTTTGGCCGTGCTACACAGCATGCAGGATCTTAGTTCCCTGATGAAGGATCGAACCCATGCCCCTTGCAGTGGAAGCATGGAGTCCTAACCACCAGACCACGAGGGAAGTCCCGAAAAATATCTGTCTTAAACCAATGAGTAATATTTTATGTAACACACTAGCAGAATTCTCATTAAAATCATGGGTAAGACATGTGTGCTAATGTTATTTGGAAGTTCTAACCAATGCAAAACACATGAAGCAGAAAAGAAATATAAGTATTTGGAAAATAATCAAAACTGTCATTTTTTGCAGATAATATAATTATGTATATAGAAAGCTAATAAAATCAACTGAAAACCTCATAGGTTAAATTATTTCAATGAAGCTGTACAGAAAGATAGACAAAAGTTAATAGCTTTTGTACATACCAGCAATAACCAATCAGAGGAATATAACAGAAAAAAGTTTAAGTATTATAATGGCAACAGACAAAAACAAGATACCAAACTGAATTGTGAAAAATAGATGAAGAAAACTTCAAGACTTAAGTAATATTTTTTAAAAGATTTGAATTTAGAAACATCCTATGTTTCTAAATAGGGACCCCCAGACAAAATTCTAATGCAATTTTTTAAACTTGACAAAACAATGCAATAGCTAAGGCATTTTATAAAAGAGCTATGAAGAAGGACTTCCCACAAGATATTAAAATAATTATAAAGCCACAGCAGTTGACGCAATATTGGATAGATAAATCAATAGTACAGAAGAGAGCCCTAAGAAACCCTAGTATACGTAAAAACTAATGAAGGAGAGAAGAAAGATCATAAACTAATTTGAAAGTAATGGACTCTTTAACATATGGTATCCAAGAAATTGCCTGTTTGGGAAAGTCCCATTATATAGTCGGCCATCCACATCCGTGGGCTTCGCATCCTTGGGTTCAACCAACCTTGAATAGAAAATATTCAGGAAAAAAAATTCCAGAAAGTTCCAAAAAGCAAAACTAGAATTTGCTGTGTGCTGGCAACTATTTACATAGCATTTACATTATATTTACAACTATTTACATAGCGTTTACGCTGCATTAGGTATTACAAGCAATCTAGAAATGATTAAAGTATACAGGATGTGCATAGGTTATATACAAATACTATACCATCTTACACAAGAGACTTGTATAAAACCAGCATCCGTGGATTTTGGTATCGCCAGGGGTCCTGGAACCAATTCCCTATGGATACCAAGGGATAACTGTATAGTAACCTCTCACCTCAAAGTATACTCCAAAAACAAAACCAAAAAATCTCCAATTCCATTAAAGAATTAAATGTTACTTACCTAGGGAAAGGGAAAATGGGTGACTATTATTACACTATGAACAAGGACTTCCTAAGGAAAATGTGACATGTTTAACTGTTAACAAATTTTCTCTGTAATAAAACAGAAAACTAAGAGCATGGGGCTGCTGTCCCTAGTGCTTGCCAGATGTTATAAATGTGATGAAGGGTTTTTAAGACAATCATACAGACTTTAGTTAATTGCCTGACCAGAGAGGTTTGGGTTCTAACTACAGAAATGTGGGATGCTCTCTTTCCATCAGGGGTTGAAAAGGCAGATTTAACCACATCCAACTACCTCCTAAAATGGGATCTTTCGTATTTAACCCACTAGCCCCTCCTAATCTGGGGATGAGGGGGTAAGATACTGACATTTCTTTGACTCGAGTTGAGGACATGATCTCATACTTCTTGCCCCCAGTGTATGTACATACAGTGAACTCCCAGTTATCTGTAGAACTAGAATCCACAAACCACATCAAAACCTCACGTTACCCAGCATCTCCAAACTCCTGCCCCATCAAGACCTTTGTCAAAACTGCTGAAAACCCAGATGAAAGGGATTTGAGTTTCACCTCCTCCCCTTTGCCCTGGAGGTGCTAACAAGCAAATAAACTGGTCAGCTAGAGGGAGAAAAAGGAGAAGCAAGGATCTTCCATGGTCTAAAAAAATGGGCTCCATCAATGGGAAATGTAAGCGGTGCCACAGCTACCACTCTCTGTCCCAAGCACGGCCAGCTCCACTGCCGGAACATTCCCCCGTTTTTCTTGGCTGTGCTAACCAGTCAGTGCTTCCATAGCAGGTACAGGCTCTGCGCTGGCTCAGGGAATACCAAGGTGAATAAGATGAATGTCTTCTTCCCCTCGGGGCTCCTGCGCTCCGGAGTGGCACAAGGCTTACCACAGGAAATGTGCCACAAATCACTACCATCAGATGGGGCTAAATTGCACACCACAGATAAGTGCCTCACTTCCCTGAATTCTGAGATAAAGACAATGCCCATAATAAGGCACATAACACAAAACGGTACTTGACGTGTCGTGTCGTCGGTGTGCTCCCCTGGTGACTACCACAAAACAGAGAGACTTACTCCCTTCCTAGATTCTCAGGCTGATGGAAACCAACCTAACAGTCGTTTTCAGCTTCCTTCCCCCAGGTTATGTTCATTCCCCACAATGACTTTTGGCCCCATCTTTTTCTTTCTATATCCTGGGGCCTTATAAATTTAAACCTGGCTTGCAGTAGAACCCTCTTAGCCAGACTCTTCCCAGCTCCAGCTCATCTTGACAACAGCTATTGAATAATTCCCTTCAAACTCTTTTCTTCATGTTATCCTCCAGCTTAAAAAGTTATCATGGTTCCCCACTACCTCATATTAAACCCAATCTCTGCTGCCTCCTTCCCTTTAAACCCTATACCAACTGCCCCACCTGTATTCCTGACCTCATTTCTCATCCTTTGGTCCACACTCAACCAGCTGGTATGTAGCCCCTCAACCTAGTGCCTTCCCTTTCTCTTTCACCAACACATTTTCTTCCCTTCCTTTCAGATCTTAAAATTCTTCCTCAATTGCTCCATTCAGGTTCTTCTCATTCCTTACCTAACTTCTTTTTGACAACACTTGGCTTATCCTACATTTAAACTTGTTGATGGGTCTCTCTCTTCAGGAGTTCTTCTGTTGTTCTCTAGGGTCACACTGTCATTTCAATAGGTGGTAAAACTCAAGAGAACGGGCTCATAGATTGTGTTTCTTTTGACAAGCATCTTTCTCCTCCTCCAGTGTAAGATAAGTTATTTAACTGGTGCATTCCATTTTACAGTTTACATTGGGCTTTCATTGACAGATTGTCATTTGATCTTCACAACAACTTTGTGAGAAAAATTGAATAAATGCTACTATCCTCATTTTACGGTTCCGCAAGCACTGCTTCTGAAGGCTAAATGATTTGTCCAAAGGTTCACAGCAAAGAAGGGGGAGTCCTAGGACGCAAACCCAGGTCTTTGAATCCTAAGTGCCTCTTGTTCCCACATCATCTTCCTACTTGATAAATGTTGCTGGACTGACAATGCAGATTATCAACGCATCAGTGCCACCAGGCCACATTCAAATAGGGAGTAAGCATTTTGAAGCCATACCCTGAGGGTAAGGTTGGAAAGAAAGACAAAAAAATGAGAATTCACCAGTGTCTTTCACTTCCAATTGACTTAAAGTTTGCAGAAGGCACTCATTAAACCTAAAATTCAAACAAAAATAAAAGCTTTTAAAAGAAACTTGGGTCTCCCCTAGAAGACTAAGAAAAGAGGAAACGCCTAAGAGACTCCCTTGGAAACTTTCCACATGAGTAGCGCTTGGGTCGGAGGTCAGACTGAAGCCTCTAGGTCAGTTTGGAGTTACTGGTTGACATCTCTGCACTGCCCAGGCAGGAATGGCCAGGAGCAGTGGAGGCGGGGAATCCAAAGAACTAGGCTCTAGCTGTTCCGGCCTTCTCTGTGCGACCTTAGGCTAATCCAAGGCTCAAGAGAGCATTGAGATCTCCATTCCTTTATCTATCCTGCAGAGGGATTGAATGAGATGGTCCCTGAGGTCTCCTCTGGCTGTGACATTCTGAGAGACTATGAATAGCAAGGACATGAGACAGGTGATCAGCTCAGCTGATCGCTACGTGGGAAGCTCACACCTGTCTCTCCCCAGCGTTTCCGCCCCTTGCTTCCAGCAGTGCCAAACGCCAGGCCCAGTCAGGGTCCAGTTGCCAATTCTGAAGCTGTTCAAGGACAGTCGTCCTTCTGCATGGGGCTCCTTCCAGCCCGAAGCTGGCCTCCCTTCCTCCCTCTGCAGATCACTCTCCCATAGGCTTCTGGGATTTGCAGGCCACTAATTCATTTCTGCCTCTTTGCTTTTAGATTAAAATTACTCACAAGAACCAAGCGCCTATGATGATGGGGCCCGCCCAGAAGAGCAGCTTCTTTTCTCTGAGGAGGAAGAGCCGTTCAAAAGACTAGACACTATGCCCAATGCCAGTTCAACCAAGAGAGAAGACAAGAAACTGAAGCACACACATACACACATACACACCACACACACACACACACATGCACACACACACACACACACACTCTTCTCCAACCAGTGGAAGCCAAGCCACCCTTCAGCAAGAAGGCTTCACCCTGACATCCATTCTATTTCAACCATGGACACACTCCAACAGAGCCAGTGCCGGCAGGACATTGTGAATGGACTTAGAGCCCTCCAGGGTGCAGCTGGCTCCCACTTTCCCAGAAGACCTTGAGCGGGACTTTCTGAGACTGAAGGAGAAACCCCCCCTTTCTTTCCACCACCCCTGCAAGTTTCCCCGCCGCTCTCAAGGAGCAGGCTGCAGGTTTCCTGTCTAAGGGGAGATCGGATGTGGCCAAGGGAAAGAGCCTGCGTTCCAGGGGACGCTCACAAAGGTCCCTCTGTGAGGAGACAAAAACACCTCCAACTCTCAGATCGCAGCCCTTGGCAGGACTCAGCATACGCACGCTAGTTTCTTGGTTGTCCTTCGAGTGACAGCTTCTCCCGGAACTTGCTGAGGAGGCAGAAAGGCTGTGGAAAGCTGTGTTTCCCTTCTTGGTTCTGCGCACCCTCAGTGGGCACTGGTGATTTTCCTGAAGCCTTCTGCTGGCTGTGTGTTTGTTTAGAGCCGGCTCCAAGAGCCCCCAGAGCTGCCTACATAGCACACCTTAGATGTGGTATTTATTTTCTTAGTTCTGTGAACACCTGGGAGGGAAAGCAGAGAAACTGAGATTTATTTTTCAAATTGGTGTCATAATATTGTGTAAAAAGGGAAGAAAAAAAAAAAAACCACCCCCAGCTTCTTTCTTTTTCAAGCCACAGCGTGTTTCCTGTTTGAGTTCCAAGCCCTGGTGGCAGACTATTCCTGAAGGCAAAGAAGATGGGAGGGAAGGGCCTTTTGCTCAGGAGACCGGGAGACAAGGCGTCAGGCAGTTCCCTCCTGCCTCTGCAACGACCACTCCCCAAGCACGACCTGAAGGCCCTACTGAAGGTCTTAGGTGTGTGTACTTATATGTAGCATATATATATTTATATATACAAATATTTATTTACTGGTGGATTTTTCTGGATTGAAAAAAATATGCAGTACAAGAACAGAAAGTGGGAAAGAAAAAGAAGGCTCTGACTCCCCGTTTCTGCCATTTCATTGTCAAGGCACATTGCCTTGTGGTGATCATGAGATTTAAGGGAAATTAAAGTATCTCCTTATCATAAAGAGACTGAGAATTTCTATTCTGGATCCTCAAAACAACATGAAAGCTATGCTGGGCAGGATTTACTCTCCCACTTGTCAGATAAGGAAACTGAGTCTCGGAAAAGTTAAGAGACTTGTCCATGGTATCTTGGCTAATGTGGTTTGGGACTAGGTACCACTAAGAAGATATGTAACAGGGAAAAGAAACTACACATCTTGGAAAAGGGTCATTTCTGGTCACTGAGAAGCGATTCCATTTGGATCCAGGTTGCCAGAGAGGAATGAACGTGTGGCACATGTGTGGACGGGACAAGCCCACATGAGAGAATGAGGCCTCCCAATACTTCCCAGAGACTCTCTCTGGCCTGACCTGGTGAGAAGTTGGTCCAGGGTTGAAGGCAGTGGACAGATCTTCAAATTAAACTCTCCACATGTCACCTCATCATGGTCACCATAGTCTCTTAATCTAGAAACCCCTCTGGCTGCCCGGATGACCTCAGGACAGAGGCACCTCAGCAGGGAGCTGCCAGCCAGTGCCCAGAGGGGCCTCAGCAGAGTTCAGTGGGCTTCATTCAGCTGGCAACAGCATCACCGCCCTCCCCGAGGGCAAGTCTGTGGAGAGCTTTGTTGGTAAAAAGAAACATTCACCTCGCCACCTTTGCTCCTTCAGCCTCCACCCCCTCTGAGATTTCCGAAAAGGAAACCTGGACCCACTCGACATCACTCCACTGAGCTCCCTCTGATCTCCTAACACTGGGTCAGGAACTTTGCGCAAGGAAGGGAAAATTAAGATTGTGTGTACAAACTGATCCTAACTCTGAAAGAAGGAGTCATCTAGGACCGTCTAAGACAGAGATCTAGAACCATCCTGTTCAACCTAACAGTGCAGACCGCTGGGCAAGGGGAAAGCAGGCCACCTGAAGAATGTCCTGAATGATGGGCTCCTTGGGGATGGGACTAACAAGCTCAGAATGACAACAGGTACTATCTTGGAAGCCACTTGATTCTGAAATGAAGGCAGGTTCAGTTTGGGGTCACTGATTCTAAGACATCTGCAGAAATTCTTGAATGTGTTTCAGCCTCAGCCCCCCAAGATTGAGGCTGTTGAGGCATGGCACTATCAACAGGTGAAAGTGATTCTTAGAGACTCACAAGTCAGAGACTGGCCCCTGCCTGCCCACTGTGGTGCACATGACTGGCAATGTTGCTTGAGAGACATGGCCCATGTCCTCCTTAAAGCCACAAAGTATAGCAAACATCAGTGGAATTGTACTTTCAATTTTGTAACCTCAGTAAGTCTGGTGGTGGTGTTTAATCTGACTTTGCAACTCATCCCTTAACTACTGGGACTGTGGTTTCTCACTGTGGAGTACCTCATCATAGTGCTCCTCACAGCAACCCCTGAGGTTGACAGAGAGGATATTATTAGCCCCATCTAAATAATGAGGAAAGCAAGGCTTACTATAATTTAGTGACTTCTCAAAGTTAGGCAGTCAAGGGAGAATCCTCCCTTATTCCTCATCGCATTCTGATTCTGGCCGTGCCCCAGACATGTTCTCACCTGCCCCCACAGTTCTACCCCTCTAGCAGTAAAAAGAATGAAACAGGAAGTCTTCAATACATTATGTTGTCCCTGGACTAATGGGCTAGGCGTTGCATCTCATTATGACTTGGTCTTTGTAGGTTTCCTCCAGTGAGTTGAGAATGGAGACAGACTTAGTAGAATGATTATATTTCAGGTCAGAGACCAGCTCCTCTCAAGAGAGTTCTTTCCACAGATGGAAAAGATATGTTAAAATTGCCAAATAAATTAGGAAATACTTGGCAGAATCTGGAAGAACCTCCAGACTGGCGTTACATAACATGCATATACATTATACATATGGACATTATATAAGGTGACATAGTACTTAATGTGCTGTATATATTATGTAAATTACATATTTGTGAGTAATCATGATAAATATAGAGACCCACTAATCACTTTTTTACACATACCCAGTGACAGATTAGGAAGTTACTTTGCCAGAGAGTCTTAAAACTTACTCTCTCCTGCTGCTTTGGTTCCAACTCCTGCCAAAAATAATTGCATCAACTTTTCCCATCTCTAGCCCCCTCTCCTCTTAGCCAAAACCCTCAGTCCTAGCTAGGCTGTACCTTCCATGGAACACTACCATGATTGAGATCCATAAAAATAGATTCTGGGGATGGGAAGGATCTAGACTCCCAGATTCCCTGTGTCACCGACCTACACCCCAAGGCTCCCAGGCAGGTGGATGTCTAATGCTGATATTAAAGGGAGAGAGAAGGGGAGAGGGGAGGAGTCTACCAACCCTCCAAGGAAGGAAACTTCAGTGTTCCTTGGCCACCAGTCCCAGGATCTGACCATAATCAATCAGGAAGTTATTTCAAAGGTCTAGTTTAAGTTTCTGCAGCATATCTGAAACCATAATTTCCTAAAATGTGTTTCACACAATACCAGTATCCATAAAATGCTCCATGAACAAAAGAGTTCTGTGGTCAAATACTAGATCCCCTTCTAGAAGAAATGGTGGGCTTTGATTTGTCTGTTGACGTCCATAGATTAGAAACACTGCCTTAAGCCCACCATTTCTTCTTTTTGTTCTCCGTGGAGATGGGAACATGGAAGTAACCATCCTCTGCAATAATATTCCATAAAGTACTTTTCTAGGACAAGGAACTTCTCTTCTTAAGACACTCTTTCTAGTTTCTTCTGTGATTGTTTAACTACTTTTATGGTTCCCCTCTACGTGTCTTCAAGCAAGAATCAAGGATCTGGCCTCTTTGCTTCCTGAGTGGAGAAGGGATTGGGGAAAAATTAAGGGGAAAACAGGATAGCTGCCAGGGGCCAGATTTCATCTGTGTAGCTCTAGAGGACAGAACCAGGTCTAAAGAACACAGTTGTGGAAAGGATCGATGTTTATTCAGTTTAATAACCACTCTTGGAGCTAGCTGGCTGAATATGGACACAGCTCACTTGTGAGGGAGTGAACAGCCACCTCCTCTTATAGGAAGAGCCTTGACCTAGTTGAGGAGGAACAAGAGGTGATTGATCTACCTTGTTTAAAAGCTGTTGAAACTATTTTAGTAGGCATCAGTGTTAAATCAATAGGTCTAGTACTTCCTTTTGAGCAGCAAACCTCAGTGTCCATTGTTTTCTGGAAGAGTGAAAGATGACTCCCAGAGAGATTTCTGGATCCGAAAATAATATTCATAAAGTAGTTTTCTAAAGTACTTTGCTCCTTGTTCTAGAAAAGTACTTTCTGGTCTAACTGGTACTGACCAGTTAGACCACACTTGTACATGGTGGGATTGACCAGAATCATTGGCGCCCTCAAGGGCAGCTAGTGGTGGTGGTGACCTTTCCTTGGCAGCTCTGAAAGTTAAAGGAATGAGTTACAGTGTTAAGCCCAAAAGAGATTTTGCATTTCTGTTGGTGTTCGTATTAGCAGTTTGGAACTGCTCTCCTACTCACGAGTACCAGACCTGCATCCGACTTGCAATAAATAGCAAGGAAAAAGAAACTATCCTACATCTCAAATACCAGTCACGTTTTGCATAAAACAGGTGAACAGAATTGTGTAGGATTTCACATGGGGCCGTCATTTTTAGCGCACCTTAACGTTCCACCATACTCAAGTACATATTTTAAATTTCTACTATAGAAAGAAAACAGGAAAGGGAATTCTCATTTATGGCTTGCTGAGTACAGGGCACTGTGTCAAGGCCTTTTCATGTGCTATCCCATTTAATCCTCATGATCTGGGCATTTGGCTTATTTCACAGAAAAAGGAGTTAGTGTATAGAAAGGTGAAGTACCTTGTCCAAGGTCAAACAGATAGCAACTAGTAGAGCAAAGACTTGACATGGGTCAGTCTTACATCAGCATTTATGCTTTTTCTACTATGTTCTAATGCCTTTAACCTTCTTATCTCACTATTTCCAACCCTACCATCATCCTGGGTGAGATTACACAGCAGTGAAAAATTGATGTCCTACCTGGTCAACCTCTGTATTGGGGATGGGACTAACAAGCTCAGAATGACAACAGGTACTACTCATGTTCCTACTGAAGAACTTCCAGTGCTTGCTCATATGGAAACTCAACAGCCTCTATGGGCAGCTAGAACCCAAAACTTCACCCTTGCAATCAAACTGGCAGCCATCCCTTAATCCTCAATGTTTCAAATTCTAGCTGAATGAGAATCGTTTCCCAAGGCCCACCTAATAGATTTTTCTATTCAACTCTGTGAGTGGGAGAGCAGCAAGCAGCCTTCTCAGACCTAAATGCCATGGTCAGCAGTGACTGGCCTGCACGGGGAAGGAGAGCTAGGGTTGTGGAAGGGAGCCTCCAGCAAGAAGGCTCTGCATGTGATCCTCATTAGTGATAGACGTGGGCTGGGCCATCTGTGTTCCACGGGAGAACAGAATGGCAGGCTGCCTTTCAGATGCCAAGAGATGCTATCTAATGGCAAGATCCAGAGAGCTCAAAAAGCAGAGAGGCATCTTTCCTCCTGAGCATCTCTGTGGGAAACCAGGGACACAGAAAACCATGGGGTTTTGGAAACTAGCCACTTAACTTGCAGGGCATTTCACCCTTGCTACCACTTCATTCTTCATGTTCATGGTGGAAGCCAACCAGCAGAGCCCTGCAGCCTTACCTGCTAACTAAACTCCCTGAGATGGATCCCAAGCTGAACCTACGTTATCTTGGAATCTGTAGACACAATGGCAGGTGCATTATAGCAAGGCACCAGGGTTTGCGATTAAGCATCCAAGTCTCCCAGGGGTCAGGAAACACTACAGGTAGAAGAGACCATTTAATTGGATGCTCAGTGAAGATTCTAGAGGAATAATCAAAAAACTTGGAGTACTCGTCTAAATGGGTCAAATTAGAAAATGCAATTTGGAAGCAAAGAGGATAACATCTAACCCAGTATCAAGCATGTAGCAGGTAATGAGTAAATACTTGTTGAATGAATGAATAGCTAAAATGGGTATCTGTCCTTCTACCCTGGAATGGGTAGGGGAAAGCGGGTAGAAGGGATTAAAGCTTTTTAACTAACAACTCAGAAACTTGAAACCACAGGATGTAGAGGGAGCTCATGAGGGCCTTTAACTACTCAGACATCTGCTGAGTGATGGACACAGCTAAATATGGATCATCAAAGGGCTTTCTAGGTCACATGGAGGGCAGCTTCATGATTCAGAAAATACGAAATTCAGCTTGGACAAAAAGACAGAAATATTTGCAGTCTACTTCCGAGAGTTCAGGTCAGAACTGACAAAACAAAAAAAGATAGCACAGAAGTGGAATTACAACACAGTAAGAGATCAGCATAATAAGATACAGACTCATGAGATGAAAAGAGATAGAGAACTGGGTTTTCTAGCAGGTTTATTTGGGCAAGGGAGATGAGCCTGAACACTCAGTCCAAAAACGGAAGAAAGGACTGAGAAATCCTTTTTTCTTAAAAACGCTTAACGTTGAGTTCATGGTAAAATGGAAATGTCCAGGCATTGATGAAACGGTTGTTAAATAACAGCTATCATTTATTGTCCAGTCCAAAGCCTATTGCTTTTATGACCACTTTTAAACTTCACCAGAACCTTATGAAGTCAGAGTTATACGGTTCCCCATTGGACAAGTGAGGAAACGGAGCAAATCTCATGGGGCAGATCTGGGATTCAGATCGGTCAGGATCTGCCTTTCAGAGCCCATGTTCGTGCCAGCAGTACCCTGGCTGAGGCCACTGAGCTTCAAGCTCAGTGACAGGGATTTACTACACCCAACCCCCCCCCCGACCCCACCCCTGTGCATGATTACTTCCTTCTCAAAATGAAATCCAAGTCCCTCCCCTCCCCCTTCCACAGAGCTGGAGTGGGAAACGGCATTAGCTTGGGCGCAGTGGCACAGTGTCCAGAGCAGGTCTGGGCGGCAGCAAGTCCATATACGCCTTGCCCACCTCCCTTCTTAGGCCCTCTCTCCCAGGCACAGTGGGGCCGCCTCCTAAGACACCGATCAGAGAACAGAGCACCAACGTGAATACCTTGGTGTTCAGCCAGATCAGAGTATTCACAGAATATTAAAGATCGTATTAAAGGACACACAGAGACCACATCAAAGGTCCAGTGAAGTGAGGTCGGGCAGTCAAACATCAGAATTTAGTACCTCATATCTAAAGGTGGGATGGAGACTTGAAGTGTCCTTTTAAAAATGTGTTGAGTGAATCATAATTTGGAGTAAAAAGACTGCTTCTAGAATAATGCAAAAAAACTTTTTCCCTTCCAAAAAAAAATTATTTTTAAAATGGAATCTTCGCAAGAATTACAAGTGAGGGGCAATAAAAATGGTAATTTCTTTTTATGTTAGATAATACCAAAAAAAAGAATTTATAAATGTCACAATATAAGTGGCAATCCAGAGAAAGATTCCAGAAAGTCTACTGTGGAGGGACTAAACAACAGTACTTTCAAAGTAATTAATGAACTTTATTTTTCTTGTGCTTTCCTTTAAAGAAAAAAAAAAAAAAACTGGTACCAAGTGGTTACCAGAAAATGGCATGATCTTCAAGAAAAGAAAAATTTTCCTGGTGGATATTTCCTCTCTCCCCAACATCCTTGAGGTGAAAAGATTGAGAACTTTTGGTTGGTTGGTTGGCTTTTAACTTAGAGAACCATCCGTGCATGGAAGGTGTTAATGATAGAGGATGTCATTGAATTGCTGTGTGGGGTTTGCTGTCATCACACTGCTACCACCAGGCATTAAGGTAATGATCATAAACTTACGAGGACTAAGCAATTCCCACTCCCATCCACCCCATCAGCCTCCTGGAGCTCCCACCCCCAGTTACATATACTTCCTGGAATTAGACCATCTGGGAATAATTTCTATTATGACAGTTTTCAAACATACAGAAAAGTAGAGCCATACGTATAATGAGAACCCATAGACCCATCACTTAGATTCAATAGTTGTTATCGTTTTGCCATATTTGCTTCATCTTTTTTTCTACTGGAATACTTTAAATTATAGATGTCATGACACCTCACACCAAAATATTACATATGCATCATTACAGGGGATCCCTTCTTAAGTGTTAAACGTTGTGTGTATCATCCATGTTGCTGAAGGAAGATTTGAGGGTGTTGTGCATCTGAGCTCAGTCATTTCTCAGCTGACTGAATGCAGTTGTCACAAGTAGATGTTAACCAGGACATTGCTGTGTCACTGATAGGAGAAAGTTTTGGGTGGAACCCAAGGAAGATCTTAGCTGTATTCAAAACATTCCTGATTGATCTGGAAAGAGGAAGGTAAACAGCACGTTAACTACATTCTCAAAAGACACTAAATCGGGGAGTGTTATAAGCACTGATGATGCCAGAGAGAAAACGCAAAGCACTTGGAGGAGTTAGAAATGTACCTGAAGGATGCGTGTTCTTATTTTTGAAATAAATATTGTTTAAAACAGTAGGAGTGGGCTTCCCTGGTGGCGCAGTGGTTGAGAGTCTGCCTGCCAATGCAGGGAACGCGGGTTCGTGCCCCGGTCCAGGAAGATCCTACATGCTGCGGAGCGGCTGGGCCCGTGAGCCATGGCCGCTGAGCCTGCGCGTCCGGAGCCTGTGCTCCGCAACGGGAGAGGCCACAACAGTGAGAGCCCCGCATACCGCAAAAAAAAAAAAAAAATACAGTAGGAGTTACAGGAAGACTAGGCCTAGTACTAGTTGGGACAAATAAAACAGTAATATCATATCTGCAGGTTCGTTTAAAAACCATATAAAAACCGATTCTGGTTATTGCCCCCACCACGTGAGGACGAGGAAGCTAGACTGGGGGAGGGGACCACCTTCTCCTTTCCTGACACTGCTGCCATGAGGAGTGAGAGTCGGTGTTGACTAAGACGGGAATGAAGATTGTTTTCATCCTCCTGCTAGTGGGAACATGTTTTCTTCCCAGAGCACCCACTCTTTTGAAGAACACAGTCTCTTCTGAGCTCCTTCATCCAGCCTAACCCCCGCACCCTGAAGCCCAGGACCCACTGATGGGCGTGAAAACACATGAGCTCCCTGGGGCTTGGAGAAGAGCTCTTGACAGGCCTTCCTGGAGACGACAGCGGGCCGGGTCTGCACACCCCTGCTGCCTCCTCTGGGCAACATGACTTGCCTTTTCTCTGTCTGCTCGGAACCAGAGGCCTGTCTATACTGCTGTTCATGAGTCATTTGGTAGCAGGGAAGAGGAAGCACAGGGTCCCCTCCTATATCCCAGTGCTCAAAATGGACACGGTCTCCTGAGGGGGAGTAACAGAGACAAAGTTCACTTGCATATGTTGAGTCCTCTTCACGGTGGCGCTGCCCTTTCCTCGGCTCTTTTCCGTGATAAGCCCATCCTGCTTGGGATCTCAACAGAGGAGCAAAGAGAGAAATAAAATGGGATTGGAGGACAGAAGGCTTTTTTTTTTAACATCTTTATTGGAGTATAACTGCTTTATAATGTATAACAGTTTCTGCTATATAACAAAGTGAATCAGTTATACATATATCCCCATATCTCTTCCCTCTTGCGTCTCCCTCCCTCCCACCCTCCCTGTCCCACCCCTCTAGGTGGGCACAAAGCGCCGAGCTGATCTCCCTGGACAGAAGCCTTCTTGATGACTTGAAGGATGCCAGCTCAAGTGTTCCTTCTGAGATGTTTGTGAGCAGGGTCTGGGGCAGAGGGAGAGAAAATAGATGGGAATTCCTGTCTTCCCCCAAAGTGATGAAAAGAAGGGGATTTATGGAAATCTGTCAGATGTCCCCAGAGGCAGGCCGTCTGCAGGAAATTGCTTATGCCTCCACATGACTTGGGAAGAACTCCCATCCTTGCCCAGCCTCCATGTTCTTGAGGGAGGAGAGAAACTTTTGGGAACTGCACTCTGGAGACTCAGAGACACGAGAGGAGACAGAGAAAGCAAGGGAGGGCCAGGAGCCCAACCTCCAAATCCAGTGGATGTTTCACATGGCTCCCACGAGGAGGAGGGAAGATTTTAGGTCAGGGTTTGGTTCCTCTGTGGCCATCAAGGAAAAGAAAGGGACGGGGAGGGCCTCCGGCAGTAACGCGCTCCACGGGGCTGCCTCAGTTACTCCAGGCCCTCCAGGCCCGGTTAGCCGGAGGCAAAGCCAGAGAAGGCCGGGTCCTCAGCCTGTCTCCTTCAGAGCTTCACAGGCCACGACCCAAGGGCATCTCCTCCCCACGCAGCCTCAGGCAGGGAAGAGCACTCTCCTACCTCTGCTCAGCTCTGCACTGCTCCTCTCGTGGGCCGGTTCCCTTTCCTACCCCGACACCAGTTAGCAGCAGGGACTTGGGCAAGTCAAATTATATCTCAGGTTTTCCACCTGTAAAATGGGGCTAGAGGACTCCCCTGGTGGCGCAGTGGTTGGGAGTCTGCCTGCCGATGCAGGGGACACGGGTTCGTGACCCGGTCTGGGAAGATCCCACATGCCACGCAGCGGCTGGGCCCGTGAGCCATGGCCGCTGGGCCTGCGCGTCCAGAGCCTGTGCTCCGCAACGGGAGAGGCCACAGCAGTGAGAGGCCCGCGTATCACAAAAAAAAAAAAATGGGTCTAGAGAGGATGGTTAATGCATCTATTCATGTATTCATCAAAAAGAAGTTTGTGATTAAACAATGTCTATTTGCTAAGCAGGTACCTTAACCTCTTAACATGCTTCAGTGCAGTTCTCTTATTTTTCTCCACTTTTTCCCATCACATTCTGCTTTTCTCAACCTCCACCCACCCCCAGGGTCCGCTGCTTCTACTTTTTCTTCTTCCTTTTATCCTCATGATGTTTCTCTTCGTTTTTCCCCCCGTGATTCTATTTTTAGAGTGTTTCTACATGAAATCAGAGGGTCAGAGGGATCATAGGAGATACCTACCCACTTTGTTATCTCCAGGCAAGTCTGTGCTTAAAAGATCAGAGGACATAGTCCAGAGCCCAGTCTCAGGATGCATTTCAGCATCTCACAGCTTCTCTCGTCCTCAATGTCTCACTTACCCCCTGTTCAATACTACACTCCTTTTCCTCTTTACCTTTTGAGTCACATCTCAGCTGTAAAGCACCTTTGTGGGGACAGAACTGTTGGGACGTTTAACCCAAAATGACATAGTTCAACATCCTAGACCATAAGTATATTAGTTTCAGTGTAAAAACAACAGAATCAGGAACAAGAAAGGACAAGAGGCCATGGCAGTTAAGAGGGTTTGAATTCTATAAAAATCAACAAAAAGAGAACAAATAAGCAAAATCCCACAAGCATAACCCTTCTGGAGTCACAATTTGATAGACTATCTCAATTGATCTGAAAAGTCCATTGAACAGGGAGTTGTGGAATCATAGGCCCCTCTTGCTGGAAAAGCCCTTCCTTAGATATCGTTGAGTCCAACCTTTCACACCAAGTTGGTAGCCCGCGTGGCATAATGTTTGTGCTCTGCTGATGGTCGTTGAATAATAGGTGGTGGTCATTCAGCCTTGGTTCCTATGTCACCATATACAGAATTCCTCTCCAAAGCCATTTCCCCAGGCCCTTAGGTAGGGAGCAGGCCAGGTCAATGCTTGGACAGGGCCTGGTGCCCCAGAATGTGCCCCTTTTGATCTATTTGAACCTGCCAAGGTAGCTTGTGGTCTTGATAGAGGCCATGTGCTCTAATGGGCAGGTCACCTGACAAGGAAGCAGATTTCAAAACCTGCAGCATCTTTTTTTTTCCTTCTCCAGATGGCAAGAGGCAGGAGATTCAACTAAAGAGAAGAGGATCTGACAGCAGGTTGCTGACCCAGCGTACAGCACAGCTGCCCTCTCCTGTAGAATGGAAAGAAGTCACCTTGTGTGCCTCTCTGTACCGTTATCCTCAATGCTCGGTAGAGACCTCAGAGGAAGGATTATTGTTAGCAAGTAACCATCATTCAAGAAGCCACCACCTGTTAAGGAGGTTCTGATGGATGCTTTTCTCTCTCTGCAGAAAACAAGACTCTTCTATCTTGGAAAAATCTGGCAAATGTTCCATCGAGGCTGCTGAGGAAGGAAGCTATGGTGGTTTGAAGAAAGAAGCCCTGCCTGGAAAACAAGAGCAACACGGGGAGGGGGCTGCAGTCCTGTCTCAGCCATGTGGCCTTGGACATGTCCTGTAGCATTCTGGGACCTCTCTTTCTCCATCTATCACACAAGGGGGGCTCTGAAGACCTTCCCATTTCACCAATCTTGCCTTCACCTGGAGTAAACGCTGCCATCCTTGTTCTCGTGGGTCTTCCACCGGCCCCAAGGCTCCCCTCAGCCCTGCTGACCCCAGAGGGCTACTCCTAGCCCCTCAGCCGAGAATCTACTTTCCTTCCCTTTTGAGGACTGATAGTGCTCAGAAATCAGCTGATTTGGGGGACCAACATGGAAAAGAAACACTACAAGGAAACTCTTTGATAAGCCCTCCACCTATACAGACATTTACGCACACACACACACAAATACAGACACACATACCCAATCGGTGAAGTGTAAACCTTTTCCCTTCTGTGTATCAGACCTCTTTTACCCTTTCTAATTGCCAGTGTATTCGGAGAAAATTCAGTTCCACCAACAGAAAAGCACTGCTTCCTCTTAGGGAACTTAGCCAAATCTCCGTGTTTGGGGGTGACTCTGGGCTCAGGTTGAATGAGGCTAAAGGTTCTAACACCCCTCAACTGCAGCCCCTAAATGCAGACTCTACCAGCTGAGACTGAGGCAGCAACTAGCTAGACAGTGCCAGGGCCCAGATCCCTCCCTCCAGGCTCGTCCACCTCCACTGCCCACACGCCCACCCATAGATATGTTGTTCCGTAATGGTGGGTGCCTGCTCCAGCCTGCCTGTCTGCCTGCCTAGAGTGCCGTGGACTTGTTCTGTAATGTACGGTGTGTGTGTATGTCTGACTCTGTGGTTTACTGCAAATAAAAATGGTAGCAGATGGCTGGCCTCTGACCTCCTGGTGGGTTGTTTTTCATGCCGTGGCTTGAGAAATCAGGATTGTCTGGTCAGCCAAGAGCACTGGAGCTGTGCATGTTTCTCTAGACTATTCTGTAGCCTCTCCACAGTTGCCCACTGCTGGGGGAGCCGGGTACCACTGATATGCCAAGACAGGGAAGAAGGGAAACTCTATTGCCACTTTCCTGAGATTGAAGGAGTGGGAAAGGAAGCCAGAAATTCTATTAAAGAAGCACCTGCTAAACGTTTTATGTACACAATGTCACTGACATCTGAAGAGTCCCTTATGAAGTGGTTAGCATTTTATAGATTAGGAAACGATGCAGAAAAAGGGATGCACTTGCTCAACAAGTAACACAATAAGTATCCTAGTTCTGTCTCTCTCATACCCCCAGATTCAGGCTCTTGCCTCTAAACTAGTGTTTCTCCAAGTGTGGCCCATGGACTGCTTACCATCAGAAACATTTGGGAGTCCAGATTCCTGCACCCCACTCAGATCTCCTGAATCACGATCTCTGAGAGTAGGACCCTGAGACCTGACATTTATAACGTGGGACTGTTGATAGATCCCTGTGCCTCCGAAAGCTGGAGAACCTTTGTACCACACCTGCTAGAGGGCAGGACCACTCGGAGGAACCTGCAGAAGAGCACGCTTAGACAGAAGAGACCAGGAGAGGAAGCTGGTCTGCAATGAAAGGGCGAAGGGGAAGCGAGGCCGTGGACTCCACATCAGAGTTGGCTGCCCCTCGCCCCAGAACTCAGACCCCAAGAACAAGTCCCTCAGCTGGTCTCCAGGTGGAGGCTGTCCTGAGCCAAGGGTCCAAGGTCACGCCTGGATGCAGCTGGGCAAGGAGGTGTGGGTCCAACACAGCAGCCTCGGGGACTGGGCACTGCCCGGGGCAGCAGCCCCCGAGGATGGAGCCGAGGACGCTTGTCAGCTGCTCACCGCAGGCTCCTGCTGCCTTCTCAGCCCCCATCTCCCCGCCCAGCCTGGCCTCACTGGCCACTCCCCAGGGTTTGAAGAGCCATTGCTGTCTGCTCTCCAGGCTCTTCCTGCCACGAAAGCCCTGGAACTCACACCTGGAACCCTCAGTCTTCTCCATGTCCCTGCTGTCATCCTCGGGGCTGGGCATGGACTCCAACCTCAGGGAACCTACGCAAAATGTTACTCACTCCTACCCATTCCCTCCCCCTTCCACCTGGATCTACCGAGTTCTATTTTGTGCCTCTTGAGTCTAGATGGAGGTTTCTGAAATGTTGGTTAGGATGTTTGAGGCAGGGCCACTGTGAGACAGATGCATAATTGCTACTTGGGGGCAGAAGGAAATGCTGGAAATAGCTTAGCTGCCCATTTAGCTGGGGAGATTCAGCTATCACCCTCCCAGCTGAAACACTAACTATGCATGAAAAATATTTTCCTCAAGAAAACGGCTTTTCTAGAGGCAAGAATTCAAGAAAACCCCTCTTGGACAGAATTTCATGTTACCAAATCAGCAAAACACTGAAATTATGAATCTGGAAAGTTGTTTATGATACTGAATTCTTATAGTGAGAGTTTCCTTGAATCTCTGTAGCTAACAAAAGAATTGGGTAAACGAGGAAAATGCTGGTGCATTCAAGAACAAAGGCCTTAAGCAGTTGTGTTTGTGTTTTAAACAATAGTGAAGAGTGAGCCATTTGCTGTTAACATTTACAAGATTTTCTAACACAGGGGACCATGTTCCGGCTCCTTCCCCCACGTAACAGGTTACTGTGTGCCCTTAAAAGTAACAAAACTGACTTTGTTTTTAGATGTTCTTCCCTCCTACTTTCCATTAAACCAGACTATCACATATTATTCAGAAATATTTCTGAATCTAAAACTCTAAAGCCATTCACAGGGTGGGGGACAAAAAGTCAAAAGGCAGCAAAAAATGGTGATGGAAGCAGCAAAGAAAGATCCGCGAGATCAGAAGGACATGGTCATGGTTTCAGAATGGGAGGGCTCCCAGAGGGCACTTAGCCCTTCCTCCAGCCAGAGCCAGATTCCCCAGCACTGCATCTGTCTGTGCACACCCACATCTGCTTGAAGATTTCCGCTGATGGGCAGCCCACCACCTTCCCAGGAAGCCCATTTGGGAGTGGTTTTCTGAGCCTTAGATAGGCTCCTCTTGCACCCAAATCCGCCGGCCATTCACTCCCATCGTTGGGCCCTGACTTGGCCACTAGCGACACAAAACAAATCTCTCCTCTCTTCTCCAGGACAGCTTTCAGATATTTGGAAACAGCTCCCTTGTCCTAACTTTTTATTTTTTTTCCCTCCAGACTAAACATCCTCTAAATCCTTGAATCATCCTTTATATGTCATGACTCCCAGACCCTAAGCTATTCTTGCAACTTTCTGGGGAGCGACTGACAACAGTTCGCCAAGGTCCCTCTTAAACTGTGATTCCCAGAACTGAACACAGCACAGAAACAGGTGGACAAGTGCAGAGCTGCATCCTCGCTCTGGATGCCACGTTAGCTTTCTTTGGCACCTGTATCACCCTGCTAATTCATCCTGCTCTCACAGCAGACATGTCCTATCCTCTAATGAGTGCTAATAATGACCATGGGTGTGGTGCTTCACAGATCACAAAGTCCTTTCAGAAACATGGTCTCTTTTACTCCTCACTACAGCCCAGTGAAGTTGATTAAAGATGAGGAAACTAAGGTTTTTCCAAAGCCATATGGCCAGGCTCAAGCCAAATCCAGGCTCCTCTAAACACACCCATGTTGTCTTCTCTCTTGAACCTCTGTTAAGGCCAAGAAAGTCTCCCTGGCTTCATTTGTTAATGTCTATTCAAAATCTCTTTTTTTTTCTGTTCCACTTTGTCCTGTTAATTTCTTCCCTTCCTTTATCCTATCTCCATCTTTTGACTCCCGTTTCTGCCACCCCTGACATTAAAGGGAAGACACCAAGTCAGAGAGAGAAGGCAGCAGAAGAGGACGAAGTGCCAAACAGGGAGAGCCTTTGGGAGGGAGGAGCTGGAAGGGAGCATCTCAGAGAAGAATGGGTAATGTGGGGTGGCAGATGCATGTTGAACAGGGATATTGGGAGAGTGGGTTCCCGGTCCCACCCAGCTTGGCTGGCTCTGTTACCCAAGGCCAGCCACCTAGCCTCTCAAAGCCTCACTTTCTGAGAAGCAAGCATCTCCGTGAGACTAGTCAATTCCCAAGACCTTTCCTGGTTTTATGAATCTAATAGGTAAAAAAGACCTTATCGTTAATCCAACAGTTCCTCTTTTCTTTCAACTCAATGAAGATATTGAACATCAGACTCAACATATCGCACAGGACTTTCCTCTGCTAAAATAAAGAAAAGCAAAGATGGCTTGGGGTCATGGCAATAAGCAACATTTATTTCATCTGATTGCCAGCCCTGGTTTTTACTGGGGGGAGGGGAGAGAAGGATTACAACAGCTACCTCTCAAGAAGTAGGACCCAAAGACTAAGGAATCCTCAGGGGGGCTGAACTAGAGGCTCTGGAGCTGTCGCCTGACACCCTCTTCACATCAGAGGACTGAGGGTCCCACAATGAACATCCCTCTCCACAGTGGCCACTTAGATGATGTGGAAAAGGAAAGAAACTCCTACTTGTTAAGCAACTCTTGTGTGCCTTCCTGGGGCAGTCACGTGATAAGTGTTCTTAGATTGTTGCACTAAGGAAATATCATCCCATGTCTTTATTCTTCCAGAGTGGAGCCGTTCAATCGAAATATAATGTGAGCCACATCTGTAAGTTTAAATTTCCTAATAGGCACGTAAAAGGAGTAAAGAGGAACAGGTGAAATTCACTTTAATCAAATATTTTATTTAGCTCAGCATATCCCAAATATTGGGTTGGCCAAAAAGTTTGTTCGGGTTTTTCATGTTATAGAAAACCTGAACGGACTTTTTGGCCAGCCCAATATTATCATTTCAACCTGTACTCAATACAAAAATTATTCATGAGTTACTTAACATTATTTTTTTCATACTAAGTCTTCAAAATCCAGTATTTATTTTACATTGGCAGCACTAGCCTGGGGTCAGTGGCTACCAGGTTGGACAGAGAAGCTCCCATAGCATCTGGTGCCTCCCCGTCACAGCACTTCTCAAACTACATCGCAATTGCCTGTTTCATGGTCTGCACTATCCATCAGACTGGAACTCTGAGAGGCCAGGGATTGTGAAGTTAACTGATATGTTCCCAGCTCAATGTTTAACATGAATATAACAGGCCCTTGAATATTTGCCAAGGAAGGAAGGAATACAAGCTCACATACCCAATCAGTACAGGGAAGAGCTTGGGTCTGAAACCATGTCCATCTGATGACAAAATGCACCATCACCTCACTATATCAGGCTGCCACCTAAACTTCAGGAAGCGTTATAAAGAGAGCGTGGTCTTTTATGCCCAACAGACAGGTTCAAGCTTCAGCTAGGAGACCAGTGATGGGGAACTCACTACAGAAGTTACCAGAGTGATTTTGCGCTAGTGACCTTAGTTCTCTTAGCCCTAATTTTCTCATCTCTAAAATGAGGATGATGGTATTTACCTCTCAGAGAACTATGAAGAGGACACGTATCTTGCAAATATTAGACTTTCTATAAATGTTAGTTTCTTTTCCTTGTCTAATTAAATGGAAATAAAACATTCTTATCTGGCCAAGGTTTAATCATGCAGCAGCTTTGACCCTATCTAGAAAGGGGAAAGTAATGAAAAGCAAACCAAAATTTGAGAAAGGGAGCTCCTACCATCTGCCTCCTTGTTTGTTCTTTAAAAAGCTCCACAAAATGCAGATCCTAGCCCAGGCAGCCCGTGAATTGTGAGGGTGCTAGAGATCCCCTTGCTCTGCTGGCAGGTAGCTACACACTGCCTGATTTCTAACCTTTGCCTCCGGGATCCTAGCATTTAACCCTCCTCTGCCCCGAGCCCAGTAGAATCCACCGTCGCTATCCTGAGGTCTCGCGAGACTGGAAACCGTAAGAAGCAC